GTGCGCTCGCTGCTACGGAGAATGCATTGCGGCGTTTTCGTGCTGGAGGACGAAGTAACGAGTGGAATTGTTACGATAACGTTCGGCGTTTTCATGTTGCTCGGTGGGACTCGTGTGGTCCGTACGCTGCACAGCGTGCTCCGGAGCCGTGTGTGGTCGCCCTGTTGGACTGTAGCAGCAGTCTGAACAGTCTGATGCTGTGTAGATGCATCCCGGAGTTGAGTTTTAAAGTGAGCATGGATAATAGAAATACAGTGACCTCCCATTCTCGAGTCTTGAGATAAGACTTGTTGCATGACTCGAGAAAGTCCTGCATACCAGTACAGGAGTGTTAAAATGTCACTTGCATTGATGGAAAAGGTATGCTAAGGTTTTGGAGTCTTAGCTTTACCCTGCTCTTCTAGTAGTACTTTTTGTTCTGTTAAAGGACTTTTTTAGTGTTATCTTATACAAGTCTTCTAGCTCTTCAGTAATAGATGTAGTTCTGGTTGCAAATCTTCCTCATCTCCAGGATTTTTTGTGAATTGTGCTTTGCTGAGGTTATGTTTTTTACATAGCTGCCCAAATTTGTGCTGTGGATAAGTAGAAACAGTTGAAGTGTTTTGGCCTTACTTAATCACATGGTAATCCTTTCTTTCAATTGTTTCAGTCTTATTTCCTGGTAAACCATCGCATTCTAGATGAGGAGAACTTTCTTATAGCAAAGTACAATTGCAGAGCTGATATAGCCTGTGTATGTTGGACAGGTTTGCTGTGTCCTCACTAGTGCTGGCCACTTTGATCCAAATCATCAGGGTAGTGGTAGTTAACATTTATGGAAAACCTAAGTAATCTGGAGGTTTGGCCACAGGTTCATCTCGGTAGTTTGCCGCTCTCCTCATGTGGGAGTTAAGCTTTATGAATGTATTTGTTAGCTCTGTAGGTATTATCATAAATCATTGGATCTTCCTTCCTTTAGAAGAAGAAAAGCTTATACCCATGTGAAAGTGCTTCCTGATACTGGTTTTGGAGGAACTTCAGATTGCTGTGAATAATTCTTAATCTGAGTATTTTTATTTCTGAGCACAAGTATCTATTTAATGTTATGGCAAGGACCTTACACTCACTGATTGCATCCTGCAGAATATGGATAGACTCCTTCCTCCTTTTGTCCTTTTTTCTGCTGCAGAATTTATATGTCCTGTTTTCCTGATTAGGAATGTGGTCACACCTTTAAGATATATCCTTGACTCTCTTTGCCACCCGAGCATAAGATCTGGTAGGAACAGTGGGTCTTAATAACATGGGTTGTTGACTAGGAACTCTAGTCGTTTTGAAGGTATGAGAACTGATACAATTCAGCTGTCATAAAACTCAGCACTTAATAGATACCTGGGGGCAGGTTGAGGTACTCTTGATGTAAACACCTAGTGCAAGGTATAAAGCACTAGCATTACACTCCTTCTGCTTGGCTTGTGCATTATGAAGGATCAGAGCCTCCAATCTAAATGGAAACATGATCGGAGATAAAATCATTGAGATGCTGTAGGTGATGTTCTGATTAAGGGCTGCATCACTTAAAAGTGGCTGTGGCTTACATGAAAAGGCGCTTGTCCCACCTGGGTAGCTCTGCCATTAGCTGCTGCACTGCAGAGTGGGTAGAACGCAACTGAGCTGCAGGGTTTGAGGCTTCTGTTTAAAAAAAGGGTGGATCTCCTGTTATAAGAGTTCAACACCAGATTATATTGTGCTGCATGTTCCGCCTTGCGCGTGGGAAGGTAAATCTGGTAGCCATTGCTTGCTTTGCTTTTGCATGGAATGTCTTGTGTAGTATCTTTCTGCAGCTTCTTCAAATAAGTAGTGATTTGAACCCAGCCATAATTTTTTTGCGTATTTTGTCTTCTTGGTGAGATTGATTTTTATTCACATAAGTAAGATGAATTGTAGAAGTAAGACATGTCAGGTAAACACACAGGAAATACTTTTCTTTATGGAGTATAACACTGGGAGAGACTGTCATCTGCAATCTACAATATAGAAGGTGAATTTTGAGAGTTCTGCTCCTCTAAAATGAGGGAGTATTAGTGTACTAATGGCCTTGGTGTATTGTTACTGAAGCATCTTCAAGTCTCAGATGTCTGTAAATAATTTGCATCACATTTCAAAAACTAGTTCTTATTTTTCTTCTGTGCTGTACCAATAAACAGCAAATTTGGCAGGTGAGAGGTAACAGGCCTTTCCTTAGCTAGCTGTATTCCAGGTACCCTTGTACTGGATGGTCAGGTTTTCAGGATTACTGTTTGCAGCCTGCTGAAGAGCAGGGTGATTAACTGCGCTGATCCTGGTTTTCCTTGCTTGCCTGTGTTCTTGCTTATAAAAAAAACCTGTTTAAGCCTGTGCTGGAAGACACCTTCCTGTCCTTATTTGGTGTCTCTTGTATTTTAACACCAGAAAAAGGACGTTACTGTGCTTTTCCTCGAGTTAAGGAAACCACTGAAATGTTGAGGCCTTGCGGGTTATTGCTGTTAATGCAAGTTCAGCTCCATTCTTCCTGTGCAGAATCTTGCCTGCTGTGTCATGTTATGTGCTTGGAATAACAATTGTGCCATAGTTTGTCCCTCTGAAGGCTCTGGCATATGTGGTGACTAAAATAATAGTGCATGCTGAGGTATTGAGAAAGAAAAAGCAGGGGACACAACAAGGTAGGAACATGAGAATGTAGGTGTCTGCAATTTCCTGTGGTGTGTACGTGTGGAGCAACAGAGGAAGATGTGAAAGGCTGCCTGTGCTTTTCTAGAGGGCCATCTGAGTTCCTTAGAATCCAGTTCTTCAGTTAGAGTAATTGTGTATATTTGGTTGGAAATTAGTGCAAAGAAGAAATGAGTGAAAACCGATGTTGTAAAGGACTAAAACTGTAGAACTTCTTGCATAGAGGCAATGACAGTCAGTACAAACAGATTCTCTTGGTTTCTAGTGGACACCATTTCTGTTTCATCTCAGATGTGAACCTAAAATTCCTGTGTTCTGAAGTGTTAGGATATAGCTTTCAGATGATTAGTTAAATAATTTGGTGACTTCCACTGAGTCAATGAGGACTGTGAGACTAAACCATGCACAGCTGGGGTTTGATTCTGCATAGTAGTTGACGGAAAGTTTCTGTACATGAAGTCGTAGAATTTTTTATATCAGTCTTGTTCTGGTCTCTGTATGAAAGAATGGATATAGTTGTTTAAAAGACCTGTAGGCAGACAGTTTTATTTTCCTTCAGGAAAAGAATGGCATAAGCTCTTTACTGCTATGTTAGGGAGAAGCCAGTTATTGCTAGAGAGTGCTGGTGGCTCAGTGAAAACTGTGATTGTCCAACTGTGCGTCAATATACACATTATATTTGGATTTTCACCAGCAGAAAGTGGACACTAATTCAGCTTGTTGAAAAACATGATATTCAATAAAAATAACACTCTAGGTCATTTTATGAAAGTAGCTGGGCAAATTGGTCACTCACATAATTTTTGCTAACTTAATATAATTAGGATTCCCATTATTTTGTAATCTGTAGAGGAGTTAGTGTTGCTTAAAACAGCCACTCTTCAGGAATGTTCCATTGAACAGTGTTTTGCTTTTGACAGCTTGACTCTGAATACCAACCATGGGGATATCTTGCTGGATTACTCGAAGAACCTTGTTACAGAGGACGTGATGAAAATGCTGGTGGAACTGGTAACTTTCAAATGCTGTGTTAATAAAGCAAATAGTTTTTTTTAAAAAAAAATCCTAGGTTTTGCCTGTAACTCATTATTCTTGCATTGCTTATATACATTAGCTCTGAGAGTCCATAAAAGTTAAAAGGCATCTGTTTACAAATCTTGACACTGTTCTAAGTCTTGCATTGTCCTTTAGCCCCAAGGTACAAGGCCATTTTTCAATGTGCAGTTCTGTTTCTCATGCTCACTGAGAAGTAAGTGTAACAGACCAGATGCCTATAGCACTGTTAGAGGTCTGCAGTAACATGAGATTGATGTGAAGGTGCAAGAGAAGACCATGTCTCCTATACCTGCACTTGAAACAACATTTCATGTGTCATGCAGTCTTAGTTTTGAGATTCATCTGTGGTTGGCTTTTTTTTTTAAGCAAGAAGTTTGTCATTAATCTGCCTTTAGCATGGTGTCCATATTTACAGCCCTTCTTTAAGTATTGGTTCATCCGAAGGCCTTAGACCACATAGAACACAGATTCTTAAGAGGAAGAATTAGCCCAAGTAGCCATAGCAAAATTGCTGTTGCTGCCCTTCAGTTTAAAAAGTATAAATTCTAAGGTGGTGCAAAGAATCATTAAGGAATCCTGTGGCAGTATGACATGAAACTGAGGAATTCGCATGGATTCATTGCTTCTTGGTCTTTCAGCTCATGTGACTTTGTAACCTCTTAAGGAAACAAACAGCCTAAAATACTTTAAAATAGGAGAATCATTTTTATCTAGAATCTAGTAGGTCTTTTATATCATAATTTTTGCTTCACTGTCTTGTGTTAAATGTTCATACTCTCTAATGTAGCTGGACCTTGGTAGTGCATGTTGACCTCCTACTATTTTTAAGAGGAATCTATTTTTACCTTTCTCAGGCAAAGTCCAGGGGCGTGGAAAGTGCCAGGGAGCGCATGTTCAGTGGGGAGAAGATCAACTTCACTGAGGTAAGGCTATTTCTGTCCGTGGTTCTTTCACCTTCAGTTGTGCCTGTATAGTATGGGTGTCATGCATCTGTGTAAGCCAAGTCTTGGAAAAACTTACTTTAATTGCCACTTTGACTTGCTGAGTGGTTGTAATGTTTGCTGCACCGCTCACAAGCGAAATTTTTACAGCTCTTAAAAAAACCCCAAACCAAACAAAAACCAACCAAACAAAAAACCCCAGAAGGAAATGTGTGAACAGTGCTCTTCAATCCTTACTTCAATACATACCTGAATCCTTTAGAGGTTTTGGCATTTTTTGTCCTTCTCGTCCCTCTTCTGTAGAGAGGATGATGAACTAGACCTTTCTTGCAAAGGGCATGGACCAGAGTATTACATTCCAAGTATCCCTTACATGCTTTTGCCTAATGTCAGTGTTCATAAATCTTAGCAATCTGCCTACAAGGTGTGAGTTGTGGAAGGCTTTCTGCTTTGGGCTCTGCTAGTTGAATAGGAGCATGTGGGCAATATGAAATGGCCATGAGATGTTAAGCAGGATGCTGTCAACCATCATGGCTAAACCTAAAGCAGTAAGACACAAGGGAGCTGCTTAATGGCAAGAACTGACTTGTCCACTACTCTTGATCTGATTTAGAACATTTTTTAGATATTTGTCTTAGGTATTTCAGACTTGTCTGTGTTTGGTGCTGCAGGCATTGGGTGCATAGGGTGTGCTAATGTGGAAGTTGTTTATAGTGCATCCAAGCATGTCATTGTCAGGTGTTTGTCCCAGATGAGTTAAAATTTGCTGCTTGGTATGGCACAAAGACAGTGCGTTACAGGGCAACTCCTCTGACCACTCATCTTCATAGCCTGCATGATATTCAGAAAGTACTTCTTAACAGGAGACATCAGGTCAAATATGACTGCGTCTCTTAAGACAAAGCATCCTTCAGGTGTGATAGTGGGCAGTATTTACCAAACACTGTTCCATGACTGAGTGCTGCAAAAAAGAAATTGCCTCTGTTCACCCCGAATTCAAGTGGGTGCACTTTAGCAAGCAAATTTTTCATATTCCAAGTCAGTAACCACAGACTCAAATGCTAATTCAAAAAATCACTGGTATTTAAATCATAGCCTGGAAGTTCATATTGTCTGTGTTGTCTTTGTCTTCCAATGCCTCTCATTGTAGTGAGGAACAATGAGGTAGAGCAGATGAATTTTTTAATCTGTTCATTAGTATTGATTAACACCTTCACTCTAGATTAAAGGTGTTAAGGTCCTGAACAGGCAAACTATAGGCCAGATTTCAGTGCTTTGACTTGCATATAACTGGAGAATTAATGTGTTGCATGCTAAAAGATTTTTTTTCTCCTAACACAACTACCCCTTACATATCTGGTGTGCAGATATACAGGCAGCATTTAGTTGTGGGCAGTGGATAGGATAATGTGGCTGTTGTATCTTTTTTTGTTACATGTTTAATTAATTGTATCTTCCAATATGAAATGGACAACTCAGGATAATTGAGAAAATGCCATAGAAAATAGCTTTGGCTGCTTGTTATAATTGATTTTCAGTATTGTCATCAATAAAACAGTTTTGTTCCTGTATACCCAAAGCATGCCAAAATAAAGATCACTATTCCCTGAACTTTGAGCCTCAATCTCTAAATGCTTTTAAAGGGATTTTCAGCTTTTTCTTTCCAAGTAAACTATTACTTTGCATATTATATGCTGTTGTAAACCCTCTGCACTGATTCTGTGAAGCGAGTGGGTGTTTCAGATAGCTGGTGATGTCTGTATGTGGAGGTACACCCACTCAAAATACTGCTCTACTAATCCCAGTTAATCTTAAGGATTTCTCAATCTTGAAGATTGTACTGCCTTCTGGATGAGGCATCTGAGGCCCCTGGGTAACTTGGCAGAGGCTTCATCTTGGGTTTTTCCCTTGTTTCAGAATCGAGCTGTGCTTCACATTGCCCTGAGAAATCGTTCCAATGTGCCAATACTTGTGGATGGGAAGGATGTTGTTCCAGAAGTAAACAAAGTGTTGGACAAAATGAAACGCTTCTGCCAGGTATGAAGTACCACCATACCTTATTTTTCATCTATTTCTTCTATACCCAGCTAGGTTCTTACATGAGTATTGTGGAGCATTTATTGTACACTGGTTCATGGGAATTATTGGGCCTTTGTTTCAGGTTTGCAATAGTTTTGGCTCAAGTATGAAGATGGAGCTGTTTTTATTGATTTGATTTTCTTTTTCTGCTCCCAGTTGGATTTTTCTTTAATGGACTTTCTAGATCTTGCCCTTTCAGCAGTGATCTTGTATTTACTTCACAAGTTTTGTAAATCATTAAATACCATTCGGATATTGCTTTATTTCTTGCTCACTTGTCAGCTCTCCCTGACTTTGGGTAGAATCTGTCTCCTAACATTTGTGTGAAGTCAGAAGAGATGTAGAAGCTCCCAAATCAACTGCAATTCGATTATGCTGTATTTACATGAGGTTTTTTGTAAGATCTGGTTTTAAGTCAGATTCCTTTATGATTCTGTTCTGTTTGCAGCAAAAGCTCCCTGAATAGTTTCAGTGCATTTTAAACATGGCTGTGAGGCCCTGGACCTGCTTGGGTGCTGTTGAGTGTTGCCCAGGCAGTAGCGACCAGTATCACTGCCAACTCACTTGTTAAGCTATGCAGAATGAGCCCAGATTATGTCCAGTTCCTAATGATAAATGCCAAACCCACAATAACTGACACGAATTGGTCTGAAATTGGTAGTTTCTTCAGATACTGCAAGAGTTGAATGGCCATGAAATTTAGTGGTCTTTCTGCTGTTGTAGAGTTTTTAGCCGATTATGATTATGGTAGTGCAAAACAAGAGTTTTCACTGGTGCCACCCTCTTGATTGCTAGATGGTTTCAATCATCAGAGCCTGTGAATATAATTTTCCATGCAGATGTATCTTCTCTATAATATAAAAACCATGTTAAGCAGTTTCTTTGAAAATATTAAGATGCATGTTTCAGTTGACTCACTTAGCAGATGGGATTTTAAGGCTATGACTATCATCTACAGGGATGGTATGTACTAAAAATGGGTTTTCTGATTCTGATAAGAAAAAGGAAAATCTTAAACATCTGTAGGGAAGGAGAGCAACTCTCAGCATAACCAGGTGCTTTGTTGTGGAAAAATTGTTCTAGAATTTGGGAATGTGCTTTGAAGTATGCATGATACTAGGATTCCTTGTGTTTGGAACAAATTTAATGTGTAAGTGGTAGATGATGGACAAAATTCAGTGCAGAGTTTTTGTTACTTAATGATTGTAATTTTGTTTATTAGAACTCTCAGTAACTTTTAAGAGAGCAAGAATAGAGTAGAAAATAGAGTTTGAGCTTGCAGTGTGTTCTCAAATTTGTTACGCTTCTAACACTTAATGAAGTGTAGTAATTAGACATAACCAAATGTCTAGCTAAGAAGGTTGCTCTGAGTGTAGGCCTGAAGGTCTAGAAGCTTGAAAGTTGTACAGCAAGGCCTGAAAAACACAGCCTATTTCCAGGATGAGAATAATTACTCTAAGTATGAAATAGTCATCGCAGTTTTTTCTTGCCACAGAGAGTCCGTAGTGGTGAATGGAAAGGCTACACTGGAAAGTCAATCACTGATGTGGTCAATATTGGCATTGGTGGCTCTGACTTGGTAAGCTCCTGACTTATGTCTTGCACATCTTTGTGTGTACATGCTTACAGTGAAGATGAAATCTAATTGTGGATTCTGTGCAGGGTCCTCTGATGGTAACTGAAGCCCTGAAACCATATTCCAAGGGAGGTCCTCGTGTCTGGTTTGTATCCAACATTGATGGTACTCACATAGCCAAAACCCTGGCAGAGCTTAAACCAGACACTACTCTCTTCATCATTGCATCAAAGGTATGTCTAATGCAAGCACTGGTTGTGACTTTTTCTACCTGTAAATGATTCAGTTAGAATAGAGGTCTGTCTATAGGTGGATCTAGATCAGAACTTCTAGTGTGGGTCATTTTTTAAACAGGCCTGTTGTGATTAACTCTAAACTTGCAGTGCCAACTTCTGTTGCTACTGAAATACTTGGGGATCCATAAGGTAAGTGCTGAAAATGACTTAACCTAAACAAGTAAGGTACATGAGCATATGGAGCGTTTTTCTCAGTCAATGCAAGTTTCAGCTTTATTCACAGAAGTTTCTTTTACTGTGTTTCTTTGTGGCTGGAGTGTAGGATCCTATGTAGCTACTTTGAAATTCTAGATCTTGTTTTCTTATTATTAAGGACTTTTGGTCCTTTAAGTACAGTGTTACTTGTTAAGAGTTCTGGTTTTTTGCATTAATGCATTGCATGTAATTTAAGAAACTCCATTTTGGCTTAGCGTGGTAACAAAGTACCTTCATGTAAGTAACTTAAATGCCAAGTTCCTTGAGCACTATAAATACTAAGCTGCCTTTACTTAGTGGTAAAGACAGTCTGATGTGTTTTGAGAAAACACTTATTTCTGAATACAGACTGGATAGCTGCCCTTTTTTTGGGTCTTGCCATTCTAATAGCTCTGCAGACACAATTGCTAGCTGCCATCTTCCCCTGAGGATTGCTTCGGTCTCAGCAGAGGAAACTGCTAGAGGCAAACTTCATAGTTACATAACTCAGTACCTTCATTTGTAAAGCACGGTAGAACCTTTCTGCTGTCTGCCCCAAATGAACATGTGTGCAGTGCTGGCCATGCTCTGTGGCCGTGCTCATTATCTTATCTTGGCAGTGCTGCAGCTGAGCAACAACTTACGAAATAATAAGGAAACTGCACAAAGTAATACTAATGGTCACTTGGAATAATAGAGTCCAGGGATCACGGTTCAAAGGCCTAGATAGCTGCTGCATTGAAAGAGTAATGCTTCAGTTTGTTTGCCACACTGTAGTTAGATAATTGGATATATTTGAAAGAGGATGAATGGGAATTTTTTGGTTTTCCATAACAGGCTTGTGTTTCATAATGAAATATTTCTGGAGATGGATGAGAGTAGGTTGATTCTAGTGTTCACCCTTAAAGCTGAATTTTGATGGTTGAGTAAATCAGAATGGTTGTAGATATTTGCAAAACTGCATGACTGAACTTCTGTGCACACTTCATGAAGCAGGAAAATTGTTTTCCTCTAATCAGCAAATCAAAATTATGGCAAGAGTCTTAGCAGAAATGAGTGTTCTTCTATGAAAGAGTAGGAACTGAAGAACAAGTGGACAATCCAGCAGGGTTATCCTGTTTTGGTGCTCAATTAGTTCTTTTTTTCAATTGAGTAGTAAAATTTAATGTTTAGTAAAGTAGAAAACTGCAGTCTTAAGGCTTTGCAGAAGAGTTTGGGCAGTGGGAAGGTAGGAAATGAGGAATAATTATTCCAATTCCAGGCACATGCTTGTTTAAAACTAGATAGGTAAATCTAGCAATGCTAGTCTTTGCTGAATTCATAAGCTGTCACTGTCTGTCATGAACATCTAGAATCACTCTGCTCTGGTGATCTGGAACATATGATACTTTAGCAAGCTGAAGGGGTTTTTTTGTTAAGAATAATGGTGTACTTTTTCCTTATTTTCCCATGTCTAGACTTTCACCACTCAAGAAACTATCACCAATGCAGAAACAGCCAAAGAGTGGTTCTTGCATGCTGCTAATGATGTAAGTCTGATGCATTTAAGTTAAGTAACAGCTTTTTGTTGTGCAGTTTCTGCCTGGTCATTGTGTGCTTTGGAGCAAGGCCAATGGCTGTTCAAACATAAGCTCAGCAAATGATGTTCTTACATAATTTCAGTCCAATCAAAGTGATAAATCCACTAGTTTTTCATTATGAATGGTTGTCATGCATGGTTCTCCCAAATCCTTCCAGTGTTTCATTAGAGCTGGCAGTAATTTGGTAAGCTACTGATATGAAAATCCAGGAATACGGTGTCTGTGTAGCATTACCTTGCAATTCTTGTCAGATCTTCAAAAACTAGAAATGAAGCTATGGTTGGAGTGATACACTGACATTTCTATGGCAGATGGCTGTGCTATGAATAGAAACCTTGTACTTGGCTCATTCCCTCCTGTTTCTAACTCTTAAAAGGAACAAAGCAGACACTGCCTGCTCAGTTAATGAAGGTGGTCTTTAACCTGTTCCAGTCAGGGTAGCTGTACTTAGTTTGCAAGCTGAGCTTTGAAATTCCTCATTACAATGCTGTTGCAGACAATTCATCTTTGTTCATGAAAACACTTACTAAAAGGCCAAAGTCTAAATCTGGACCTTGAGATTTATCAGTACTTCCTGTGAGCTTGATCTTTTGAGCTAAGCAGAAGGGTAGTGCATGTACAACAAACTCCATCTGCTCCACAGCAGTGGTAGTGATGCTCCACACTGATCACACACTCTGAAGGGAGTGCTGTGCCGCTCCAAGTAGGAAGGGCTTGATGAGAATATTATCGGAATGTTTTCTTGAGGCATGCTGCCAAATTCAACGCAGAATGTAACATGATTTCAAGTTAATAGTGCAAAAATAACTGATGATAGTTACAGTATTTTGTTTAAGTGGTAGCAGATCAGCTTTATAATCAGAAATCAAAGTAATTAGCGTTCTAGATCTAACTATGCTTTTATTTTTATTAAGCCTTCAGCTGTGGCCAAGCATTTTGTTGCCTTGTCTACCAATGCTGTAAGTATAACCAGTCTATTCACTTTTCTCGATTTACCTTTAAAGGTGGTCTCACTTCAAAATCTAGTAAGGAAGCCTATATTTTAAGACACCAGAATACCGAATTTTAGTATTCCTCTTGAAGCCTTTTTTTCCTACTGTAAATAACTGACACACTTTTAGAGTACTGAACTGCGTCAAGATTGGACTTCCGTTATAGATGTGTGGTGTTTCTGCTAGAGCTTTGATTCTGGAATCAAGAACACTTGTACTGGAAGCGAATTCTGTTATTAATGTGTGTTACCTGTAATTAAGTGTGTGTGAGTACAGTTATGTAAACAAGTATTATTCTAAATACCAAGGAGAAGCTGAAGTGATCTAAGCAGTTTGAATAATGCTTATGATAAGCATGGTGTACCCTGATGTGCTGTTTTGTGCAAAAGTATGAAGTAGAGACCAATAGCAATTAGAAAAACACTGTTCAGTTATTGTGATTTGAACTTCCTTTCTTCCATGATAGTTCTGTTAAGTGTAAACTGAATGTCAGTCCAGCTCCTAACTATGTCGCCACTTAGCCTCATTTTCTGATGGGGCTGTATCATTGATTGTTTTAATTAATAATGGCAGTTATATCTGGAAACGAAGGTATCCTTTTTATGATGGATGCTATGGATTTTTTAAAGTAGAGGATGTGATTGTGGAGTTATGTATTTAATAGGTACCCAATTTTTGTTTATATGCTGGATATAAAGCTTGGTAAGAATGTCGGTTTTACTTAGTGTTCTTACATGCTTTTCTTTATTTTAGCCTAAGGTTAAAGACTTTGGAATTGACCCAGAGAACATGTTTGAGTTTTGGGATGTAAGTAAATGTCTAATGTTATATGGTAGATGTTAACTGGTAGCATTTTCTGAAGCAAGTTAGATGATTCTAACTAGGTGTCTGGAAACTGCCAAAGCACATAAATTTATAGTAGTAATATTCTGAAACACCTGAAAACTCTTAGCTAAAGGCAAATTGAGAGCATGTCAGGCAAGCAAATCTCTTGCCCCTTCCATTTAAAACCTCTAGTCAAGGGTCTGAAGAGGAGCCTATATGTTCTTGGCTGTCTAATCAGCTGCTGAGTAATAGGAGATACAAGTCTTGGCTTATTCCTCTGTGCATGTTGTTATTATAAGCTGTGACATTTGCCTGTTGGTGTCTGTGGTGTATAATCTAGGCCTGTAAAGGTCAACAATCAGAAATGGGAGTCTAATTTGATGTTTTGTAGGAAATGGATATTTCAATATTTCAAGTTATCTATAGTGTTACCTTTGCCTAGATAGTGTGAGAATGTTGCTGAAGCAGGTTTTACCTATAGACGGGTGGTATAATGAAAGCAGTTAATCCAAGCTGCATATTTAGGATTTGGAGGTGAACTGGAGTCAAGAGGTGTACTTGAACAGATGTTTCATAAATCAGACAAGTAGAATAACTTAGTCTCAAAAAACACATGCTTTAGGGTACATTAGGGGCTGCTGTAAGGTGCCGGTTCCCTTGACTATGCCGTATAATACTGATTTTGCTGACTGCAGTCTAAACACATACTGCTGTTTTCTGAGTTTGAATAAGTTTGAATTTAAAACCTTTGCACTTCTTCATCTAAACTAATCTCTTGTTTTGCAGTGGGTTGGTGGTCGCTACTCCCTGTGGTCTGCCATTGGCCTCTCCATTGCCCTGCATATTGGTAGGTGTTCTTGTGATGTCAGCGTGCCAACAATGAGTCTGTTTGCTTCAGGAGTATAACCATGGAATGCATTAATAATAGTTGCTTGTGAGTCAGACTGGGGCAAATGTTTTACCCAATCTAGTCAGAGTGATTGGATGTTTGTGCTAAAATCCAATCTGTAAATGCAGTGGAAATTTTGATAATTTAGTACTGCAAATGCAGTTTTGGAGATTAGTCCATACTTTGGTACAGATAGCCAAATTGTATCTCTTTAGTCACTTTGCATGGCCAAAAGTGCCTGATACATGTAAAGCCATGTCAGTGTTGAAAATTGGAGCATGCCTGTAGGTATACACTCACTAAACATAAGAATCCTATGTCTCCAGTTCTGCAAATCAGCTCTGAGTAGGATTGTTATTTATCTCCTCCTCCCATTAATTCCTTTTGTTCCTAGTACTTGTTCGTTTGGCTACAGGGCCTGATGACATGATCCCTCATCACTGCTTTCAGATGTTTAAAGTCTGAAACTGTAATGTCATTTTTCTAAACAAAGCTAGAATTCCCTTAGACTGGGGTTAGGAAGAAAAACATTGGGTTTGGTGTATTTGGAGTGCTGTGAATAGGAGTTGTCATTGCAGAAAAACCTATAATAGAGCAAAATAAACGAGTCAGGTACTTATTACTTTGTCTGCAGTAACTGTTCATTGCTGCTGTCAGACAGATTTGGTGCTGACTGCTGACATGCCAGTCTAGCTGCACTCCTTCCTCAGACCCTTCATCTCCCAAACCTGGCTTCTGACCAGAGGCAGAGCTGCGGCTCTGAGTGCCAAACACTTCACCTCCCGGTTTCTATGTAAGAGTTGGGATTTTTGGCTTTGCAGGAAAGGATGATGTTAATTAAACTATTCATTAGTGAAAATGAATGGGCGTTTAAATACCCTAATTATAAAGCAAAGAAAAATCAGGTGAATTGTTGAGAGGGAAGGGAGAGGGGAACTTTTTTCTTTGAAAATTTCTAATGGAGCTGTTTCTCCTGATGCTGAGAAAAGCTGTAAAAGAAAATACTCACAGACTTATATCTTTGAGTATCAGGTATTTGTTTATTCAGCGCTGGGCACAAAGGGGATCGTTCCACCAAACTTGTGCTTCCAGGGACAAGACTTCATGGGGTTTTTTTATACATTCCTTCCAGAGATGGGTGGTCAATATTATTACAATTAGTTCTAAAAAAATCATTGGCATGTCCCTTTAGTGCATACTTCCCCATTACTTCCAGAGCTGGGTGGTCATTATTATGACAATTAGTTCTGAAATCGTTGTCACCTTCCTCAGCCGGCACTTAATGGCCCTTTAGGGCATACTTCCCCAGTCTTGATTATCTCTCCCCTTTATTCACTCATCAAGCACTCCCTGGCCCTTTAGAGCTTTCTTCCCTTTGGTCCACTAGTCAGGCATTTCGAGGCCCTTTAGGGCTTTCTTCTCCTTATCACTCCTCAGAAATCCCTGCTGTGTACTAGCCCTGCCCTGTTTTCTTGACGGATGGCTCTCCCACTGGGGCTCTGAAGTGACTAAGCCTTTGAATTTGCTGAAAGCTACATAGCCTTAAAGCAGGCTCTGTGTTAAATGCCTCTGTTTTCCTTCTGGTTGCTCATTCTGCCTCAACATGAGGCAGAATTTTTGAAGCATGTTTCATGAAGTTGGACTTGCTCTGAAGCCCAGGCTTTAAGCACAAGTAAATACCTGGCTTATGGAATGCAAATTTCAGCAAAGTCCAGCTTTAAACTGGATTAGTAGCTGGGAGCTGTGCTGCATGCAGAGACTCTCAACTGCTTTACAATTGTCTCTAGAAGAAAAATCAAGTTTGAGTTGGAACAGTAAATACAAACTGACATTTTCCATTGTTAGGTTTTGACAACTTTGAGAATCTGCTTGCTGGAGCCCACTGGATGGTGAGTGTGGGATGCTATTTCAGATTTGTTCCTCTTAGAGTTCTTAGTAAGGTTACTGAAGGCAGGCTGCTTTCTAAAGCTCAGCTCCCCAGGTCCTCTCCATGCCTGTAAAACAACAGCTCCTGTGAATCTCTCCCTGGATTAAAGCAACAGTAGAATCAGAATCATCAGAGTTGGAGGAGACCTCTAAGATCGTCAAGTCCAACCATTAACCTGTCACTGCTGGAATCCCTGAACACTAAACCATATCCTCCAGTGTCAGATCCAGATGCCTCTTGGAACACCTCCAGGGATGGTGACTCCACCACCTCCGTGGGCAATATTCCAGTGCCTGAACAGCCTCACAGGGAAAACATATTTCCTAACATCTAATCTGAATCTCTCCTGTCTAAGCTTATGACTCTAGTCCTCATTAAAATAGTAAAAACAATGTGAGAGTTGGGAGGGATGACAGTAGCTGTATCAGAAGTTTAACTGTGCCTTGTGTCACACAGGATAATCACTTCCACACTGCCCCCCTGGAGAAGAATGTGCCTGTTCTGCTGGCCATGCTGGGGGTGTGGTACATCAACTGCTATGGTTGTGAGACCCATGCCCTGCTGCCCTATGACCAGTACATGCACCGCTTCGCTGCCTACTTCCAGCAGGTAGGGCCTGCCCACAGGAGGTGTGCCAGGAATCAAACATGTAGATGAACTTCTGTCCTGGTTCTATGACCTGAGTGCATGTGTCTAGGTTAAAATTCGTGTAATCAGCAGCCTAAGGAGAGTGGTGCCAAGACTGAGATCACATTATTTGCTCACTTAATTTAGATATTTTCATGTTGTCCATGAATTAATGGACATGTTGAATGTTGTTCAGCTACTTGTTGTAGTTGAAGTATATATGGACACTTGTGCTGATACTATATGCTACCATGCTTCCCTCCTTTTAGGGTGATATGGAGTCTAATGGGAAATACATTACCAAGAAGGGCTCTCGTGTGGACTATAACACTGGCCCCATTGTGTGGGGAGAGCCTGGCACCAATGGGCAGCATGCTTTCTACCAGCTCATTCACCAAGGTAAGCTGAAACTATTCCATACATCCTTCTGGAATTAAATTCTGAATGGCCACAAAGCACAGGAGTCTGCAGAGTTGACACTGGTTTAGAGGTTGGTCTCATCTCACCTACTATCACATTGCCTGAATTAGGGGTCTTAATGACTTTTAAAGACTACAAGATGCAGGTTTTAACTACAATAAGGAGTGTCAAATAAAGCTGAAAGTTCTGTGCTGTATCATTACTTCCCCCTGCTGTTAATTAAAAGAAAGCTATTTTATAAAGCTTTTAAAAGTGACAGTCTGCCAGAGCTCTGAAAAGGGGGTGAGAATTGAAGGGGTTTTTTTCTAAGACTTTCCTGGTGTAGAGTTAGTAACCTGGCTTTCCTTACAGGAACTCGCATGATTCCTTGTGACTTTCTGATCCCAGTCCAGACCCAGCACCCAATCAGAAATGGGTTGCATCACAAGGTAAGTTCTTTGTCAGGGCACCCATATTTCTTGTCTGGAGACACTGAAGCTTGTTCAGTACAAGACTTTGAAGTGTCCTTCTGAAAATATACACAGACTCTGTCAATATTCACAATAGATTTGAAAATACCTAAATTATAATTGCATGTTATTGTGAAATATATAATACAGTGGTATGTTTATTCTTGAAGATACTGCAGCCACAGTTCTTGAGGCAGCTCAGTGGTGTGTCCTGTTGACCTACTGAAGCTGGAAAGAGGGGAG